AGCATTTGCTTTTTTTTTTTTTTAGTTCAGATTTGAAGTATTTAGCAGAGCAGTTACATAATAGGAACGCCTGGGAATTGCTGTGTCAGATTGCAGCGAGGAGCAGGGCTTGGCAAATCGTGGCCTCCTCAGCACAGCCGTCCCTGGCTGCGTGCGGGGCTTGCTGTCAAGGAGCACTTCCAGGAAGGAGGGGGAGCAGACCACCCTGCAGTCCTAAGGGTGCAGCCGTTACCTGGGTTGTCAACCCCGGTCTGAATGACATCATCCAGCGTAAATCCACTGGGAGTCTGCCTGTCCCTCAACTTCTTGTACAGGTCCAGGGTCAGCACCTTGGCCATGTGATTGTTGTGCGCGCTCAGGTCAGGGAACTCATCGTCAGCGGAGTGCTTCATCTTCAGGAGGTTGTGGCTGTTTGAGAAGGGCATGGCTGTCCCTACCGCAGTCACTGGGGGAAGAGAGGGAAGTCTATCACCAGGGGAGGCCACCAGGCACCAACAAGGTCACCTTGGCTTTGCTTCCACCCCACGCAATCCACACCTTCGTTGCCACAACACCTTCCTCGAGGCCAAGCGAGGAAGAAAAGGGAAAAAAAAAAAAAAAAAAAAGGGAAACTTCTTCCAGCTCCGCAAGCCTTGCCCCATCCTTCGGCACCCGGTCCGGATGCTCCGGGGCTCGGCCGGGACGCAGGGCGGCGACCAAAGCGGCGGGGCAGCCCCAGCCGGAGCAGCCGTTGGGGAGCGCCGCGCCCGGCGCCGGTACCGACAGCGCTAAGCTGGGGACCGGGGCGAGTGGGCAGTGCTCACCGAGCCGTTACACAACGGACGGCTCCCTCGGGGGACGTGGCTGGGGCGAGCGTATGTAACTACCCTGCTAAATACCGGGGTAAGCTGCTTTCAGAGCGGGGCTCCGGCTCAAGCTGCGGCCGCACCCGGTACGCACCTGTCCCGCACCGCCCCATCCCGCTCCCCCCGACGCTTTCCCGGCCGGACCGGCTCCAACCCGCACCATTAACAATACATTTTTTCTCATAAAAGTTAAACCGCTTCCTCCTTCTTTTCTTTAAGCTGCAGGCGACTCGGCTGCCCCGGGACTTACCGAGGGCTCCGCAGTCAATGCAAGGACCTCAGCGCCCGCTCCGCACCCACCCGCTGCCCAAGCCGGAGTGGAGCCCCGAGTCAACCGCCGCGCCCATTTTATATAGAGCGCGACCCACCGCCCCATTGGCTGCTATTTATAGCCCATTCATTCCATTGGTCGAGCCGCGAAGGGGCGGAGCCAGCGGCTCCTCCTGGCCGGTGAAGGCGTGCCGCCATTTTGCGCGGCGGTTGGGCGGCCGGTGGCGCTGGCCTCGCGGCACGCCTGCCTCGGGCCCGGAGCGGTGAGCGTCGTGACCTCGTGAACGCAGACGTGCGCGTACATCCGTTCCACAGGCAGCCTCAACATGGCGGCGCCGTTGGGCACCGAGGCGGGCGCACACGGCTTTTTGCTTTCACCCTTGCTCAGATTTGAACATAGGCTTATTGTGTAACGCACTGAAGGTCTCTTTTTGTCGTGCGCAAAGAAAGTACCTGAACTTTATGGAAGAAGGGCTGATTTCCTGTGGGGACAGGAGCAGAAGGGCATCTGAGCCATCCTATGCTCACATTCAGGCAGCGGTGACTGTTGCTGCGCAGGGCTCATCCAAAAACCTTATGCAGCCCACAGTTCAGTTTTGGAGAAGTGAATGGCAACCTGGAGCTGCCCTTCACATAACAGTCTCCTTATCTTTCTCTGTAGTGCATTTATCTCATACTTCATCCCCCACACCTGGACTGCGCATTTAATTGCTGTGTTAGAGTTGTGTCAGAGAGATGGAGGAATCGTCCCCACGGTGATTCTTCCAGCACCACAACCAGTGCCCTCAGCACCATGACACCAATGCAGCTTACAGAACTGTCCAGCTTCAGGAAAAAAATAAATGCACAGGAAACCATTACGAACTAAAAAGCTCAGACTGCCTCGAATAAAAATGCACTGTGTTTGGCTGCCATCCAGGCTTCCCAGTTATCCCAGGTACAGTGAGAGCAAACGAGCTTCAGAAGTTGGGCTGAGCGTCTGTGCAAGTCTGGTCTCTTATCTCCGGGATCAAAGAACAAATCCTCTCTAAGTCCCCTCTGCCTTTTTAACCTCACAAAATCTTCCCCTACATCTCACTAGTTCCACGCAATGCTCGTTCTTCAGGACAGTGTCAACTACAGGTAAAGCCCTCCTATGCAAGTATTCAATGAACGTAAGCGTAAAAATCATTCCCAGAGTTGTCAAAATACATGTCGTATTCATGGATGATCTGAGTTACAACACTTTTTCTTCTTTTTGCCAAGTTCTAGTTGTGTGGTTTTGTTTTTTTTCTTAATGTAAAACACTCATCAGAGTTATTTTTAATGTAGAACAATACAAGAACAACACAAGTAATACTAAGAACATATTGTAACCTTACAAGCTTATTTTCTGGTGTTTTTCTTCACCCCAAAAAAAACCATACTAAAGAGGTACTGAAGGCTCCGTCTGTCTCGTTCCATAATCTACTGCCACGCACACAAGAAGCAACTGTTACTTACTTGTGTTATACATTTGTGGAATCAAGGTTACCTCAATAACTCACTTCTTTGCACTGGAGACACTCTCCCTCCCCATCCTGCAGAACAGGGAACACCAGTTGTTACAGTTATTAAGAGTCGGTTGTGTTCTCAATGTGCCATTCATTATCACACTTCCAACACAGACACCTCTCCTTCACACAGCTTTTGTCTGAAAGAAGACACACAGAGCAGAGCCATGGTGGGACACCATCAAAATACACCTAGCAAACATGTTAAATGAACACTGCACCCTCACACCATTTTCCTCACCGTTATTTGACAAATTTATAATACACACTTAGCTTATATTTTCAGATCTGCTGAAAGCTGTGTGCAAACTGGATCCTACCTCTGTTACGGTATCCCATCCCTGCTTCCCTAGTGGCTTAATTATAGATGCAGTACTGTGTGTCAACAGCCTCTGATCAACTGCTTTATCTAGCTCATCTGCTGAGAGAATACTTTCCTTGGATCAGCCTGTATTGCCTGTTAGACTGTGATAAAGGCATCAACATGTCCTTTCCATGGGACGATATTGTAGTGCACACTGACGTGTAAACTATGATGCAGTCTGGCATTTTAGGCTGGAAAGGTGGGGTGATTACTCCAGAGATCTGCGTGCTGAGCTTCAACAATGAAGAATGAAGGGAAGTTAATCATGGGCCGTGCAGTGAACACTTCCTAAGAGGCTTAATTATAAATGCTGTGCAGTGTACAACTGCAAGGAGATGTGTGTTAGCTAGGTAATGTGTCTTCTGAAATTGCTCACGTGATAGCAAGATGAACCTGAAGAATTCAGGGGAAACATGCTGAAAATCTAGAAGGATATTTCCAAATCAGGAAATAGCAAAAGAAAACATTTTACTACGTATAACTGCCTTGTTTCCAATGCCTTACTTACTGAATAAACAGCACTTGAAAATGAAACGTAACACTCGTGCATCAACAGGTGAACTGGTTGTAGCCGCATCTGCTTAAATTCCCAAATATTTTCTTCCCATTTATTGCTTTCTGTATATCTGCCTTGTTATTATCCCTTTTCACATTGGTTCAGCATCCTGTTGAAAATTGCTTCAACTCCTAGTTGAAGACTAGGAGCTGTTTGGTCTTGTATACAGTCAGGCTCACAGTGATCTGAACAGCAGTTTTTTAAGGGAAAGAAAGGACACAAGAATATAAACTACGGCAAATGACGTGGAAAAAATGACACATAAAAAAAAACAAGGTAGGTGCAGATATAAAGGCAGAATAGAGCTGTGATTGCCAGTCAGGAAAACAGCTGAGTAGGAGTCTGCAGTTTAAGAAACCTCTGAAACTGCATACATTATGTTTAGATGAGATGGAGGAGAGTTTCATAACTAAATAACAAAGACTTCTGCAACTATGATACGGGCGGGTCAATAGCATAACATTAAAATGTTCTCACTGAAGATAATGGGCAAATTTTCCCTCACAGTTGATGAAATCACATGGATAAAAAAGACTCACAAACGGTCATCTACACAGCTCTCAGCTAAGCATACGTTGATGGCGTTCTTGATTATGGAGGAATGACTTTTTCTCCACTCCTGTGCATCTCAAGCCACTGGTGAATGCAGCAGCAGAGGATTATCTGATTTAGACAGAACGTTACCTGCGTGTCCGAGGTGACTCAGATCTGCTGTGCCCGCGCCCTCCCATGCCAGGTGGCCTGGGCTTGTTGGAGCAGCAGATGAGGCGATATCCTCCTCCTGGGCATCTCCTGACTCCATCCCCGCGCCACCGGGGCACCTCCGGCTCTCCACATCACTGCAATCCTAAACACGAGACACAAGTAGGAGTTAGAGCCGTGCTATTTGGGGTTTCGATGATTCCGCTCCTTCTGAGCCCACACTCTGCTGTGGGTTTCTCCTCCAGCCTCCAGAAACCGGCACGAGGAGTTCGGTTGGCCTCGAGCTGCCTTTCCCCGGGCTCAGCAGGGGAAGTAGCTGGAACGTTCTGGAAGCCACCTGCACGGAGGCTCGGGTGGCAAAGGCACGGCCGTTCCGTGGGCAAGGGGCAGAAGTCAATTGCCCGCACTTGGCGAACGTGAGATCCTCCCCGGGCTCGTAGCTATCCGCGCCCGCGGAGGTGCTCGGAGGGAAGAAGCCGGGAAGGGCCGTCCAGCCTCCCAGCGCCCGTAGGGACCTCTCGTTGCACCAGGCAGGGACCGGCCGCACGCCCCTCGCCCCCCACGCAGGAACCACCGCTGACGGACGGCGGCTGGAGCGGGCGGCGGAGGGCGAGGGAGCAGCGCCGAGAGCGCGGCCGGCCGAGCCGGGTACGGGCCACGGTGACCGGCCGCTACGGGCAGGGCCGGCGGGGGCGGAGGCGGCGGAGCGTCGTCAGCATCCTGCGACCGGCTCGGGGAGGCGCGGGGCGGGCACCGCGTGTGAGGAGAGCCGTGCCGGGCCTGCTAGCGGTACTCGGCCGCGGGAGGTAACGGCCGTGGGGACGGGCAGAGCCGGCGCTGCTGGGGGACCGCGAGCCCCCCGCCCGCGGGGAGGCCCTGCGGGGCGGCGGCGCTGCGTAGAGCCGAGCGCGGCAGTTACCGCGCTGCGCTGCTGCGGGCCGAGCGGCCACCGCGTGTTATCTTTTGTTCGCAGTCGGCAACGCGCGGCCCTCAGGTGTTTGGCTGGGGACACTGTAGGAGAGGGGACACTGCAGGGCCGGGCGTGGGGGACGGTGAGTGCGGGGCTGGGTTCAAAGGAAGACGTGTAGATGAGGTGGAATCGGAGTTGCTTCCAAATGGTATTATTCTAAATACGAGCTGAAAACAACAACTCGTGAATAGTGTCTATTACAGGAGAGTTAAGAACATCGATATAGTCCGATGTGCAAGCTATAAAACTCATCACTGCCGTCTGACAGTGTCCGGTGTGTGTACATTTCTGAGCTGTGTCGCCCTGTGTCCAGACATTCCTCGTGTGCTTTACTGTACGAGCACCGACACCGCATGCCTTACGCTTTGGAATCATGGCCTACCAGCATGTCTGCTTCTCATTCTCACTGTAGCAGCACATTTATAAATCTAGCTGCTGAACAGCAGATTGAACTCAAATTTTGGTCAAGAAAAATAGACTGCAATTTCAGAACTAAAAGGTTTTCGGTTTTAGTAAAAACAGAGAAGTAGGACAAAACTTGTACACATTCAATATGAAAGCACTGGAATCAAATCATTAACAGGTTGCCCAGGGAGATGGTGGATGCCCCGTCCTTAGAAACAGCCAAGGTCAGGCTGGATGGGGCTCTGAGCACCTGCTGGAGTTGTGGGTGTCCCTGTTCAGTGCAGGGCAGTTGGTCTGGATGCCCTTTAAGGGTCTCTTCTAACTCAAACAATTCCGTGATCCTATTTTTCTGTGAAAAGTAATGCTGCTTTTAATTTTCTTGTCCAGCTACCGGGAATCAAACTCCCAGAGCCTTCTGTCATAGACTTTAATCTCTAACTTTGGGATCACCACATTACACAATTCTTTCCATGAATAGATCAGCCTGCAGCTTAGGTTGTTAGCTGCCTTATCTGAAAAGCAGTGCCAGGTTTTATTGTAAGCTGCCTTCTCATTTCGAGGTTTTCTTCTCCAAGACAACAACATTTAAGACTGTTGCTCTCAGAACATGGGGCTAAAACAATACAGTGTGTTTGCACTAGCTGGCAAGAGATTGTTTACGTTCAGCTGCAGCATGGATCACTTCCCAGACAATCACTTTACACCCCCAATGGCAAATTAAAAGCCACAGTGTTTTTTCTTTGTACTTAGTCAAATTTATACCTAAATTAATGCGGATACTACCTTTATCTTATCTCTAAAGCTTCATTTGGAAAACTTTCAGGTAAACTTTTGCTAGTGGTCCTAATAATTGGTGATTGAGATCCAGGCAAGTCACAGTTGTCACATACTGTAAAATCACCAAGGGATAAGTCACCAGAAGAAAATAAAATCACTGCTTAACAACATGTTCTGAGAGCTTGTGAACTGGAACCAAACAGATTGCTGAAATCAATACTGCCTTGCAAGTTTCCCAGTGGCATTAGGGAGCAGGCTGAGTAAATGCTAACAGATTCGCTAATTTTTGCTTGTAAATGTACCATACAATGATACAAATAGTGGTTATGTTCAAGTCAATGAGATCTTTTTGTTGATTTTAACTGGGTGAGGAGTGCATCGAGGGGAGGTCCCTGAGCTTCATGAGGGGCTCTCTTGCTAACATTTTACTTGCACGGTGTGTCCTTTTTTTTTTTTTTTTCTTTAATATTGGGGAAATAAAATAATTTGTCTGTACTTATAGCTTCATCGTGACACCATAACACTGTCTTGGGATTTGTCCCTTTCTAGGAGACGACCACCAGCCAACCACAAGACTGTTGCAATGAGTTTTGTTGAATATGGCGATACAATCAAGGATGGTGACACAGCTATTGTGTTCTTGGGCCACGAATCCATGTTTCCTGTGAAAGTCCAGCAAGGCAGTGTAACTCAGACTAAATATGGGGTCATCCGGCATTCTACAGATCTCATAGGCAAGAAGTATGGCTCCAAAGTGACCTGCAGTAAAGGAGGATGGGTTTTTATTCTTCATCCAACTCCAGAACTGTGGACTGTGAATCTTCCACACAGGACACAGATCCTGTATTCCACTGACATCTCTGTAATCACCATGATGTTAGAACTGAAGCCAGGCTCCATAGTATGCGAATCAGGTAATAGTCTGAGATCTTTTATTAAGAACTAACACCAACACTTTCCATGGAAAACACACTTAGCTTTACATTTTGCAAAATCTCTTTTTTTTCCGTTGTGATACAATTTTCCCAGCCCACACAAGGAGTCATTCTCTTTCATTTGCACATGCTATCAACTATTGCCTCTCCAACAAGCAACGCTGCTTCAGTATGCCAGCCTTTTGTGCACATACCTTTGAGTACATGATTAATTCATCTTAAATATATTAACAATCTTCTTTCCCTTATCTAAAACTGCTAAGTTATTCAGACGTATTTTTAAGAGAACATGATTTGAATAAAAAGTCAGACATTGGATTAGCAGTCTGCAAGAACATCATTGAGGTGAATTAGTGAAAGATGGCGAGGGACTGAACCGAGTAATATGGGGAATCAAGTGTCAGTGTTTCTATCATGTGATATGGAATTATGTACATTTTATTGTTCTCTTCCCAGCTGTGATCCACTTGTAGCATTTCAACTTCATGCAGAGCTCACTGCAGTGGCACAGTATAACAGATGATGCATTCATCACAGTGCTGTGCATTGTTTCAAAACTTGGTTTGACTTATTACCACTTCCATAGTTTTACATAATTTTTAAGTAAGGAGGAGTTACATTTCATGTAGATATACATTTTCATGGTTAGATACAGTTTATAACAACACTTTCATGATTTTATTACTGCAGGCAGTATGAGGCTTGCTTGATTTCATTTGATCTCTGTAGTTTGCAAAAATGTGAACTGTAGATAGTTTGTCCTCATTTTTTCTGCCTGTTTACTTTGAGTCTCTTTAGGAAGCAGTTTTATGTGCTTCCTTCTGAAGCATAGATATGGCAGAGGATCAGTGTGACAAGGTTGCACTGCACTGTGTTAACTTGCATTTAACATTTCCTGCGCCTACCCAAGCATGATGCTGGGCAACTTTGGGGTATTGTGGCTGCTTTCCAACACAACTGAAGTGCTGCTTATCTGCATCCAGTCGTACCCATAATAAGTCATAAATGGGCATGCTGGAAGCTGGCAAGGCCATGTAGAAGCTCCTGGCCCCTTTCTTGGGGTAGGTGAATGTTAAAGGGCAGAGCTGCACCATTACTGTTGTCAGTAATGATGAAAGATGAAAATCTTTGAAAGCTGAATTACCTGAATAGCTAAGAAATGGAAATGCTTGATGAGCTAACTGATCCACATTCTCAGAAATGTTGTGAGTCAAAAGCCATTGTTTGTAACTACAAACAATCCTTTCTGTTAATGGAAAATTGTTTCCAGGTTTATTTTAATGTCTGTGCTGTCCTAATTAGTGTTTTCACTTCAGCTTTCTAGGGAAAGCAAACAGTTCTATTACTAACATTGTGCTTGTATTGCCTGAAAGATTCACTGTTCACAAAGAAAGAGGGAGTATTGTGGCTTGAGTCACGAGTTAATCTTAAAGCAAGAGTTCTTACTGCATGTCTGCTTACGACTGACCAGAATTGGTGATTTGAATTAAAAACTGTTACATGTATTGACAACTGGAGCCTCCAGTGTGATGATGTAACTTTCTTTGGTGCCATCCAAAATTAGGCCACATTCAGCAATCGAAAATCAGTAGTGCTTGTTTAACCTTGTGTGGCTTAGGAGGAGCTAGCCAATGGTGATTAACAGAAACAAGGCAGGAAATCTGGTCTAGTAATGGCATTTGAGTCTGCTTCCTGTTAGTGCTGTCTTTAGATGTATTTTGAGCATTAATTAGCATGGAAGTCTGTCTTTTTATTATTTGACCATGAACTGATACACATAGTTGCTGTGGGGCTGGAGAGGCAAAACAGGCACAGTAAACAGGCCAGGCTCCCCTTTCTTTGCTGCTGGGCTGTGGCAGGTGTCCTGCACCTAGCTGGGGTGAGCAAGCAGAACTGGGGAGCAATCTGCACAAGTGCACCTAGAAAGAATGGGTGAAGTAAAATGAAATGCCCTCTGCGTCATGTTCTGAAGTTGTGAATACTGGTACGTATTATCTTACATGTGTAGTTAGGAAAAATCAGTTTAAAAAGTAAGGCTTAATTGTATATCACTTGAGTTGTTCAGTTTAAATTGATTCATAATGATCTGTCATAACCAATACAAGCATATTAATACAGATTTTACAATTTTTAATCGTTTTTAATAAATACATAAAGAGCAAGCAGCACATGCATAATTAAAATCATCCCAGCAAACTCTATTGAGGCTGTAAGGAGACTCAGCATCTGCCTGTTGTTTCATGATAGAGGCATAGGAATATGATCCTTTTTCTGTTTCCTGCTAATCTCTAATTTATGAAAGTACGTTGAGATTCAAAAACTGCTGATGGAGCTAAGATCTCTTGAAAGTATTGGTCCCTGGCCTGAGGAATTCACCAGTTTGAAAAGAGTTTTTTCAACCAAAAAGTTTTTTCAGTCGAGTTTTCAGCTCGAAAGGCAAATGGGATCCTGGGCTCCATCAGGAGAGGGGTGGTCAGCAGGGACAGGGAGGTGATTGTCCCTCTCTACTCGGCTCTTGTGAGGCCCCACCTGGAGTACTGTGTCCAGGTGTTCTGGAGTACTGTGTCCAGGTGTGGAGCCCTCAGTACAAGAAAGACATTGAGATTTTGGAAAGGGTCCAGAGGAGGGCAACTAAGATGATCTGGGGGCTGGAGCACCTCCCCTGTGAGGACAGGCTGAGGGAGTTGGGCTTGTTCAGCCTGGAGAAGAGAAGGCTGCGGGGTGACCTCATTGCAGCCTATCAATACCTGAAGGGAACCTACACCCAGGAGGGGAGTAAACTCTTCAAAAGGGCTGACATCAGCAGGACTAGGGGAAATGGATCCAAGTTGAAGGAGGGAAGATTTAGGTTGGATGTTAGGGGGAAGTTCTTTACTAGGAGAGTGGTTAGGCCCTGGAACGGGCTGCCCAGGGAGGTTGTGGATGCCCCGTCCTTGGACGTGTTTAAGGCCAGGCTGGACGGGGTCCTGGGCAACCTGATCTAAATGTGTATGTTTGGTGGCCCTGCTAGGCAGGGGGGTTGGAACTACATGATCCTTGGGGTCCCTTCCAACCCGGGTGATTCTGTGATTCTGTGATTCTGTGAGTTTTTGGCAGCCCGATCTTTCCAGAAGTAAAGGACACCTGAGAGCTGCTGCAATACCTGCAGTGGGTAGTGTGAAACTTTTACTCTCATCAGGTAACTCTGATCTCACCTGTGCTCACTGCATGTGCGGTCACTGTTTAAGTAAAGGAATACATTCAATTTTTTTGTTTCACCACTCTCCAAAGCTCCAAAACTAACTTTATACCATCTTCCAAGCCAAGGCTATCTTCAGTCCTGTGATTGCAGCTGCCTACAGAGTAATGACTCCATTTGACAATTTTTGCTTGTTTTAAAATTTATACTACATTGGAATAAAAATGAAACCTTTCTGATATTGTTGCTAAACATAAGTAAATACCTCTTTTTTTTATTCCAGCACCTGCTTATCTGGGCTTTTTTACTGTCCTTTCTCCCTGGTAAAGCCTAAACAAGTGTCTGTCCTTACTCTCAGAATTGCCCAGGGAATGTAGTGCAGTACTGTGAAACCTCGTTTAATCTGATAAATCTAAGAAATATTTTGCTTTCAGCAGAGCATTGTATTTAGACAAAATGTAATTTAGTCAAAAGTATTCTGACCAGTATCCCACTGATCCTTCAGCCCTCGACAAAATCAGACTCACATGAGCAAAAATGTTAATTGGATTTTTGTTTCCCTTCAGCTAAGTCCCACATTAAAAGCTGCTAAACCCTGTTCATTGCCACACAGCAATGGGGTTCCAAAGCCACAGATGGGATTTGTGAAGACTGAGAACAGTCCTCTGGGTTCCCATGGCTCCTTTGTGGACGGGTAACAAGAGCCTGTGGCCAGCTTGCCTTACACTGCAGCTCCTCCAAAACAGTTATGAAATTTTCAAACTCATGGTCTGAGTGTAGATTTTGTTAGAAGTACGCTCATAAAAAATTAAGGAGGACTTAATGATTAATTGATACTTAATAAATGATTAATAGATTATTGTGGAGTCCCAGCAAGTCAGTTGTAGTGCTGTGACTTTTCTGATTGCTCATGTCTGCACTATCTCTTTGGCATAAGTGTGTGTAAACTCTACAGCTGTATCTTTTGTGTACACACCAAAGCTATGTAACTATTAATTCAATTTTGGGACATATTCATATTAATTAAGTTTTATAATGTCTCCCATATCTGCCTCTTAGCAGGTAAGAAAGAGAAGAACTCGAATATGTGATTCTTTGTAACACCTTCTGAAGTAGAAGAAAAGCCTCATCTGTACTAACATCAGAGAGCACAGTGTTCTCTTGGCATAACCAACAACTGAAGTAGAACTGTGGCCACATGAGGCATCTCTGTGCTGGGTGCAGCCCTGTGGCTGAGGAATGCTGTTCATACCCTGAAGTTCTTGTTTCCAGGCTTTCCGGGCTTCCTTTCATCTTACCATTTTGTTTGACCACAAAGTGCATTTCTCATGCAGCTCTGAACTTCACAGTATCACCTCCATTTTGCAGAAGATCCCTCCCTAAAGAACTCTGCCTCTTGAATCACTTAAGAGCAAATTCTTTTCAGTCTTCACATTCCCATTCCTTTTGTAGGCAGTGCCAGCCTTGAAAACTTCCATGCCATGCTTCCCCAGCTCCTGCATCCAGTGAACAGTGGCCTTCTTTGGGCTCCAGCCTGCTTCCTAAAATGCCCATTTGGGCAGCATGTCCACAGCAGAAATGCAAGAGTAGGAGGTCATCTGTAAGGGGAAGTGCTTTATGCACCATCTCCTCCTGCAGTAGCCAGGCCATTTCCTTTTCCCTCTCCTCCTGCCTCCATCTGTCCCTGATCTTGCAGTTTCTCACCTCTTTCACCATGATTTGTGCCTGACTGCCCTCACAGAATGACTTTTGAGTTACAACTATCAGATGCTTAAGATCTCACCGTATACTCACTAAAACGTTTCTCCCATTACATAAACTTGTCATGTACAGTGAGCAGTGTTCCTCTGCACTGTGTTTCTTTAGATACTGGCTGTGGAGTTCTTAGCTGTGCCTAAAGATTAATTCTCCTTTGGTTTTGAGGCTCCATCCGTTCTCATGGCTGACTCATGACCCGTCTTATTATTTGCTAGGTTTAAGTGCGGTAGCTAGGAGACTAATAGAGCAACACTGATTGTTTTCTCCTATTTGACCGGTTTATAATATCTTGTGTAGCCAAATATTGCAGCAGATACTTCAATTCTATTAAAATGTTACTAGATATTGCATCGATCCAGAAATTAATGACACCACTTTTCCTGTTTTTGTGTTATATAAACCAATGTATGCACTTAAGAGCTTCCTCAGCTTTAGTTGGGATTACAAACCTGCCGTAATAAACCTGGCAAATATTTTGAATAAGCACAGCTGTAAACATCTATGGGTTCGAAATCACAGTTTTACTTCCTTTCTTAAAAAGGGAAAGCCCATGGAAAGGAAACTTTGGGGGCAGGCAAGCATAGAGAAAACATAGTGGAACATAAAATCAGGTCTCTTGTGTTTGCAGCACGGGTGGGATTCCAGGAGGATAAGCAAATTAGAAAACCAGACTAAACAGAAAACAGTGGAAGTGTGTTCCCTATTATTCAACTCTCCCTCAAGTGCTGTATTTGATGCTGTTGGAGTGCTTGTGTTTCTCTCGACTGCTCTCCTGATGTGTATCTACACAGTATTGAAGCAGCAGGTGTTATTTCTGAAGGGGTCAGATGTTGTCTGCTGCAGCCTTGAAATGAGGAATGATCGTAGTGTGGACACTGCCTCATGATGCTGAGGTGCGTGGAGGCTTCTCTGTGGAAAACATGTCTCTTGAATCAGCAGAAGGTGAGAAGAACAAACCTTTTTGAGGTCAGGGCAATTGGTGGGTTGTTCATGCGATCAGTACTTTGCTGTTTGTAAATCAGAAACAGGTATCAATAGGTACTCAGCCTGAATGTTTCATCTAGGTGTCCACTCGTTAGGATATAAATCCTTCTAAATCTGTGCTGGTTTTGTTGTCTTGGGAAAAGGTAGAAGCACTCCTCTGAGCTTAGAGGTGTCAGAGATGGATGGAGAGAAATGAAAAAGGAGTTGAGAAGGTGCTGAGAAAGCTCAGATGTTAAATATTGCAGATTTGCAGGGGAGGAGGTGAATATAAACATTAATTTCCCCTTCTATAATATAAGAGAAATAAAGATTTGAACCTGCCTTCTGTAGACAGCATTAGGAGTTGTGCCAGACCCCAGTGAGGATTGATGAACCACAACAAGTGTGTTAACTGTCAGGCATATGAGAGCTGAGGGTCATCATCATTTCACGGGATTGGGTTCAGATTCTGTGATCACTTCAAGAAAAGAAGAAATTTTGCAATGGTGGATGATTCACCACCTTGTTCTTTGTTTCCTGCAGTTTGGAGAGTGTTGTCATGGAGGAGGCAGGCAGCATCTTCAGAAATACTCTTCTCATTAGTGATGTGTTTGTATTATTCTCATGTTTGCAGTAGCCAGTCAACAACAAATAATTCCTGGCAACCTTGTTTGACAAAAGCTCAGTCTGTAATACACGCCCGCAAGCGATGACTTCCAGCATCCTGTGTTTGGTGCTGGGTTTGGCTTTGGAGTGTTCATGAATTAAAAAAAGTACTGGAAAACAAACCAAACAGTGTAACAGGATTTTGTAGGAAGGAGACAAACTGTATCTTCTCTGGTGTTTTGAAAAGCAGATTAAAAATGTAAAAGATATGAACAAGGAAACTGGATACGTGCACAGGCTGCCTCTCTTCTGTGTCCATCCCAGCTGTGCTGGCAGACCTCCCATTCACTCTTACAGATGAGCTGAGAACAATGCAAAAAGTCAGCAGCACTGCCTGTTAGGAAGGTAAAAAAATTACATTCTGTAGGATTGCAGAAGTTCTCAGTCATGCAGTCCTGCTTTCTGGTGTGAAACACAATGGCAGATTTCAGTCGTTTTAGCATCTTATGGGCATCCCTGCTTTTGTCATTACAAAAAACAGTGAAATGCTGTTTCTTTGCTATGTGTGTACATTATTTAGTTTTTGCAGCCACGTGGCTGCCATGATACCATTAATTGTTTTGACCAGTGAAAAGTTTATGTCAATATTTAGAGCCAGCTGGTACCGCAAGTGGGTAATTTGTCACGTGTGCACAGGTAACTGCCCTCTGTCTTCTGCTTGCTTTATTGTAATACTAGTGTGGATGCATGAATTTTCACTTAAAGTAATTATTTATGTTCCAGTTTTACTCTCCTATTGGACCTTTTTGGGGCCAGTGCTAAAATCTGAGGTCCTCCCTCCACTTAAAGCTGGAGAAAGTGCTGCTGCGCCTGCCAGGGTCAGGGCCTTCCCAGAGGGATGCAGGAAAGTGGTGCCCATTCTGCAGAGTATTTGGTTGATCATGTCAGATGTGGGCCCTGAGCTCTTCATGGTCTGAATGGCTCCCTTCTCAGAGCTGTCAGCTCAAATCCAGTGCCTTAGCAATATTTCACCCCTTATGTGACTAGAGGGCAAGGACCTTAGATCTGTCACTAAACTCTGACTTCCTGTCCGAGTCAGGAAAGCATTGCTCCAATTACGCTGCATACCAATCTCTGAGTCCTCTAATTAATTTCCTTTCTGCTGGTTTCTGAGCTTTCTCCACCACTGCTGTTCTTTAGATTCTGTCCTTCAGCAATAGTTTTTATGATTTGCGGTAGTTAAAAGAACTTGCTTCAGGCTGAAATTTAGCCTGAACAGTCACTGAAGATAGCTAGAAATAGATTTTCTTTCTACAGGAAAAGTGTGTTCCAAGTACAGAATTATAAATCAATAAACACAGGTAATTTGGGGTTGCTGTGGGGCTTTGAGTTTGGTGGGTTATTCTGCTAAATGCCACTTCAGTGAGTAATCTGCAATACGAGTCGGTATATGGCTGTTTTCTTCAGTGAAAACGTTGGTTATTAGTCATTATGTATTTAACATGCCAATGGATCATTAAAAATAAGTTTCCCAAATTACCAAGCTCAAACAGGAAAAAGTCTGTATCCTAATGGTTAGTCTGTGACTGTACATGGTAATCATACTTATGTTCAATTTTGGGTATGTGGCGGATCTCATTAGACTTCGCTAGACAGTGTAGACTTGTACAGGTAAGCCACCTGTGCAGTCAGGTCACTTGGTGTGACTGCAGGGAGCCCAGGGGCCTCTGCTCTGGGCAATGTCAGGGTGTGCTGAGGATGGCCGGTGTGTGACAAGAGGCCTGGGCAAAACAGCTTCCATGTCATGAAGGTTGGCTGTCTGCATAGATCCCAGTAGGGTTTTCAAACATAGGCTCTTGCCAACATCTCTTTCTTGTTTTAATGAAGCGTGAAGTTTTGAAAATATGCTGAACTTTGCCTTCATCTCTTTTTACCCTAGAAGAGTCTTGCACTTGCAAAAAAAAATCTATGTTAATTTCCTTCATATTTTCCCCCTGCATTTAATTCCTGATGTTCTTCTATAGCCCTTGTTAGAGCTGTAGCTATATTGCTGGCCCTTGGCATTGTTTTTTACTCACAGATTTTTAACTAACATTTTGAGGACCCTGAAAACTGTTTCCTGGGTCATCTAGTCCATCTGGCAGTGCCTAGCACTATCAAAAGGCATTTCACAAGCTGCTTTTCTTCTCTAGGTACAGGCAGCGGATCCCTGTCCCACGCTCTCATCAGGACAGTGGCTCCCACGGGGCACCTGTACACAGTGGAGTTCCACCAACAGAGAGCTGAGAAGGCCAAGGAGGAATTTCGGGAGCATGGAGTAGAGCATCTGGTCACAGTGACCAACCAGGATGTCTGTAAGAATGGATTTGGTGTCTCAGACATTGCAGACGCTGTGTTCCTGGATATTCCATCTCCATGGGAAGCCATTGGACATGCAAAGGCAGCGTTAAAAGCTGAAGGTAACTGTACTAGCTCTTTATAGGAAGTACCATCTCTGCCTCTCAGCTATATGTTAGATCTGCTCCTTTCCATTATGTGATCGCTGTTCTCAAATCTCAGAGTCTCTAAGTATTTCAAAGGATGAAAAAGAGGTTTTCAGTTTGCAGGGAAAGATTTGAAAAGAGCAGAACAACTTTTTCCTACAGGTCTGTGCTAGCTGCTACAATTAATGGGCAGTTTATAAAAGAAAACAACGTTTGAACCTTTGTCTGGTGCGTTTTGTAGATCTGAGGGTGTGTGGGAGGCAGCAGCAGCAATAAATGCTGAGAGCAAATTTCTTTGGCACTTCAGTGGAAAGGTGTTTGTATAAAAGGTGTTCAGAATCACTTTACATCAATCATTGCAGATTGGACCATTTTAACAATGCTCCACATCAATAATGTTAAAGAAAATGTGGTTATTCTTAAATATGCATGCTGATTTCTACCTTAAATCTCTGCTGTCAGAGCTAATGGGGAGTATGACATTGGCTGCAGTAGGAATTGAACCTAAAGGGTGTTCCAGCTTGTGCCAGCTGCTCCTGGATGATGACAACAAGTGGAGACTGCTAGTGTGGGATTGGATGGGTTTTGTCTGTTTGTAATAAATCTTTTCCCTATTCAAAAGTAGGGAATAAACCATTCTCCTATCCTGAAATAAGTTTTCCCCTGATTGCTGTTCTGCCAATGTAGCTGCACTGCTGTGAATCTGAGCTAACTTCTGCCAGGCTATGAAGTGACTTTTCTAATCAAGAGAGTATGGAGTGCAGAACAGTGCCCATGCTGGGACACGACTTTAGCAGCGTACTGACTTTAGGTAAATTGCTTGGTCTAAATCACAGGATTTAAGCTTGTTCTTAAAGGTCACTGAGTGTGTTTGAGTCAGGACCAACCCAGGCTGTAGGCTCCCCCCACTACCATGGAAAATTTTCAAGGAAGCTTTCCAATACAACGCATTCTTTAAAAAGTAAATAAATAAAAAGAGACTAATTAGCACTCTGTACCTGCAAGGATAACAGCTGAATTTGTAGCTGCTTTCCAGTGTGTCCTGGGAAAAAAATAATGTTCAGTGCACTGTACAATGCCCTTCCCATGCTCAAATTATCTAATCTAGTGAGCAGAACACTCAGCTGACTTCCCAGCTTAGAAGGCGCTGCATTGCGCAGCCCAATTTGAATTATTTAAGTGGTGCATGTTCAGAATACTGAGCAGGGCTGCTTGAGCAATTCCGAGGTTTGAAGCCCTGTCTCACTCCAGCATTTGAAAAACAGATAAAAGGTCCCATAGTACCAAACTGACTACACTTTTCTGTGCTACAAGGTTAATCTGCTAAGCCAATATTAAAAATATTTAAAACCCTGCTTTTTTTTTTTTTTTTGTCTGTAAAGTGACGTCGTGTGCGTTTCATCAGGCAGAGGGTGAAGCTGCTTACTGCTGTTTTCAAATAGTTAGAGCTCTTCTGCAGTAAGAACAGGTTGTGCATGTACTGCTGCTGCTCACCTCCATTTCGGTGATAAGGCATCACTGGAGGGAATGAGCCCTTGCGCTCTTTTCCCTCTGTATCCTCTCTCATGCATCTGGACAGGATCATGTGGCAGGTTTTATTGTGATGCACAATGTAAACATTGCATCTGTGCTGCCAGGTAGTGGTCATTCATTCGCTGAGGTCGTAAGGTAATTAGGTTGAAGTCAGGGCTGAATGAATTCAATATATAGCATCCAGTTAACCTCCTCTTTAGAACCACAGTATTCCTTATGGAGTTTTCAGCTGAGATTGCATGTAAGAGAGAGTTCTCGACCTTAACAAATGCTTATCAAATCAGTATTTTCTCTCCTACTTATGCTCAAGATCCTGAGTATTGCAGCTCCTAGTAGGCTGAGTGTTAATGATCCTCTTCACAGAGTACATTTATCGCTCACGTTATGCCTACCAGTAGGCTGCAAATATGCTGCTTACGATAGCTTGGCCTCCCGTTTAGTGCACTGCCAACTTGTGAAGAGCTAAAGGGATAAAAATGCACAGAGTGTTTTTGACTCGAAGGTTCTTGTTCTCTGGTGACATGCTCTGCTGATGCTCAGGCTTGCATCTCAGCTGCATCCTTCTGTGCTCATTTCACCAGTCAAGCTTTCAAGCAGAAATGCTGCTTGTAATATCTCTCAGGCACTGCTGCACTGCAGAACTTGCTTTCATTTCCAGACCTGCACTGTTTTCCTTTAGCAGCATCTGCTGATGAATGCTTTTCTGTAGTCATAGCAGTATCTGACCTTGGTGGTTTTTTGCAAAGTTGCTGTTAACCCCTTGAGGCTAGATTTTTAAAAAAAGAATAATTTAACAGAATGAAAAAAATGAGAGGTAACAGAAATATCCTCCACATCCTACAGTGCTTAAATACCCTGAAACTTTTGACTCAGTCATCTCCCAGCTGAATACTGTAGTGCTTTGGTTATAATTCTGTACCCACCTACTCTGCTCTCTAAGTATTGCCTATTTCATACATATATACATACAATTGTTAGAGTTGGAAGGAACCTTTAAAGGCCATCCAGTCCAACCCCCCTGCACTGAGCAGGGACATCCACAGCTCCATCAGGTGCTCAGAGCCCCGTCCAGCCTGACCTTGGCTGTTTCTAAGGATGGGGCATCCACCACGTCTTTGAGCAAGCCTGTGCCAGTGCATCACCACCCTTATTGTAAAGAAGCTTCTTTCTTATGTTCAACCTTCATCTCCTCTCTCCATAAAGCCCCTAAATTATGAGTTTGTCAAATAGTGATCTGTGTGATCTCACCTGGATTGAGTGACATGGTTCAGGTCTCCCCAGAAAGCCCTGCAGCGGGAGTTCCCTCCAAACACTTCCCTGTATGGGCCTCTGTGTTTCTTCCATTGAAGAAACCTTTTAGGAATACTCTGCTCTTCTTAGAGGTAGTTGCTTTTCATTTCCAAAGTCTTTTGTCTGTTCTGTTAGTTCACAGTGGACTTAAAACAGGTCTTGCTTGCATTCTTTCCTCTACCATAGCCATTGATTGTTGTTCTAACTTGCCAGTTTGGGTTCTTACGGTTGCTGTATAAGCAAATAAATAACGCCCCAACCTCCCAGTAGCCTGTGGTGTAGGTAAAGGATTTAATTTTCATTTAGGTTTGCTTCCTTCCTCCCTGGTGCATTCAGGGAATACCAGTTCCATGCAGAAATTCTCACTGGCTATTTTTCCTGAGCCCTAGAGGTTATTCATGGTCCCATTTTCAAACCACCCAGGTATGGCTTTGAGGAGCAGCTGAAATCTTCAGCCACTTCCATGGCAGCTGTGTTGGGAGCCCCCCGGGCTGAACCATGCTGAGAGGGCAGCAACGTGAGGCTGCTGCTGGTTGAACCTCAGCTGCCTCAGCAGCACACAGGGAATGTGTTAGGGCAGGAAGTGGAGCCTGTCAGTCTAGTGTGCTGTCTAGACTTTCTTCCTCCACCCATGCAGGTGGTACACAAGATGGTATCAGTGCTTCTCATGTCCATAGGAGGTTGTTTTGGAATAAAGGAATGAAGCCATATGTGTCTGTAAAACACCATCACCAGCCTTTATTAGTGCCATCTGCTTTGATTTGAAGGAGAATTTGCTCAAGGTGAAGTTAAGGATAATCAAGGTCAGACTGGACAAGTCTTTGAGCACCCTGATCTAACTGTAGGTGACCCTCTTCATTGCAGGGGAGTTGGGCTAGATGACCTTTAAAGGTCTCTTCCACCTCAAACAATTCTATAATTGTATGATAGTTTGAAACAACCTCCCAGTGTTGAGGGACCATCTGGTCTAGCGCAGAGCTGCCCTGCTAGGATCAGAAGTAGGTGCTAACTCTCAAATTCCATCTGGTTCCCAAGCAGTACTTGCTGAGCTAAGCACGGCTGGCGTATCTTGTTGGAAGGCATTAACCTAGCTGAGGTTGCAGGGATTTTTAGCTCAGCTGCACACAATGGGTCTGGCCCAGCAGCCTAAGCAGAAATGATTCCCTCACCTGTCGTGAGCTAAGCAGGTTTCCTGCACTGTAATCCATGCTGTGGAATGCTGTCCAAAATTGTTGGACTTTGCACAGCTTGTAGAAAGAAGCTGGGGATGAAGGGAATCTTAAAGGAAGTTGTTAGATTTTTTTCACGAGTTTGGTGCCAACTTTTTTTTTTTTCTTTTCATTTTTGATACATGCTTTAGCCAGCTCCATAGCAGTCAGTAGGAATGAATTCCTTTGGAAGGGTGCACCTACAAACACAGAGGTTAAGGTCACATTTGCAGAAAATGGCATTGAGCTCCCATTAAAGAGCTGGCAATGGATTTGGAAAAATTTTTCTTTTCTGAATCAAGAAACATCCTTTAATTTTTAACAACAGCCAAATCCTCTAATTTCACTTGTCAAGGAAGCTGCATCAAATCGCCCACGAGCACATTCATTTAAAGGACATTTTGTCCCCTTTTGCAGAGGCAATATTTTTAGTGTCCTACTAGCACAGAGTAAATGCCATAGTGATGCTGCTCTGTGACTTTCCTGCCTCGCCCCTACATAATGGTCATGCTATGGGATCTTTGTAACATAATCTTCCAATTATCACAAGGCTCTGAAATCCCAAAACCCAGAGCTGTGTTCTCTTACCAGAAATAAAAATGCTGTGCTGCATTTTCTGCGTCACAGAACCATTTCCAAAATTATGGGCCCTTTTCTCAGGAACTTAGCAGTGCTGCACTACATATGTTCTTTTCACATCCTCTGAGTAATACTGTGATGATGAGCAAACCTAGCAGAGTACTTGTGACGCATACAGCAACCTGCAAAAGAGAGGGCACGTAACTTGGACACATGTTGTTTTCATATCATGAGGATGCATTGAGTTTGTGTCCATTGGTAGCACTGCCAGATTTTCCATGCTGGATACCTCGTGCAGATTTTAGGTAAGTAGAACTGGTAGAGGTGTTACTCTTTGCTCACACAAACCAGAAACGCAGTTGCTTGGTGGAGTTGCATAGAAGCACACCAAAAGCTGTGCTGGAAGGAGGAGCAATTTCCAAGGCACTGATCTCTAGTAAAGATAGCAAGGTGTGTCTCTTGATTATTAATTAGATACTTTCAATACCATGCTTAAAAAAATGTACAGTGCTTTGTAGATGCAAATGCTCTCTTTTATTTTTTCCCCTTCCCCTAAGCTCTCTCCTCTAATTGTTCCAATTGTACTTTAATTTTCATAGGCTTTTGACCCCACTGCTGGTTAGAGTGGCTGCCAGGACTGTGTGGGCACCTTCCAGCCTACACATTCAGATTTAACCTCTCCATTAAATGTTTCAAATAAACTCACTCTCTGTAAAATTGAAGGTGGAAAAAGAAATGTAAGTCTTTAATACAGACTCATTATTTTCTTTTCAACTTTAGCACTTGTCAGAGGCATTATACATGAATAAACACATTTTTAGACAGCTCTTCAGATCAAAAAGCTCACACGGCTTCCCAATGTGAACAGGATTAATCTCAGATAATTGCTGTATCCATTTATGATGACACGCAGGTCTCATTAAACAAATTTAGGAACAGTAGCTTTCCTAAAAGGAGAGCTCTGAGAGAACATGAACCTGGCTTGCACCTGGAAGTCCTGCTCCTTCAGCAGAAGAGCATGTCCTTCTCAGTGCTGCTTTTCCTTTGCTCAGAGTCCACTATTTTTTTGCAGCTAAAAACACCATGGCAAATGAAGCATCCCAAATCTATTTTAGGCAGTCTCTGTAAGTCTGGAGCTGCAATTTCATTTCTACCTTCAAGCCTTCTGCTAATTGCAGCCTTCCAACCTTTTCTTAACACCTGCTTAATGAAACAAGTTCAGGCCATGAGTCCAACCCAGCCTGTAGGGTGATGTTGAGAGGAGACAGCAAAGAAGACCTCCTCGCCTGTTTGACAGACGCCATCTGGATGTCAGCTATCACAAGCACCTTCTTCTCATGTAGCCCAGCTTCCCTAAGCAGCCTGCTTTGTGAGGAGGCAGCCTGATAAATTAACACCAAGTTTGGTGCTGCCATGCTGTGCTCAGCTGACCATCCTGAGGCAAAATGAAGGTTGCTCTGGCTTTAATTGGAGGCTTGACAAAAGCCGTAGGCGGGTCTGCAGCTTGTGTTGCCGCAGTTGTGTGCAGGCTTCTTACTTTTCCCCTGTGAATCCACAGCTTGTGCCTAAAGATGTCTTGAAATCTTTGCAGTCGGAGTAAATGAGAACAGGTTTGTTGTAAATGTAAATATGTTGCCATCTTTTGTTTCAATATGAATGCAAAAAATGAAAAGCCTGAATGAAATCGTAGTAAGTCTCAGATCTCAGTGCAGATTCTTTCTTCACAGACAAAGGGTTACTGTGAGCTGACATTTAGCTAAGTTAGACGTTTGTTCAGTTCCCTGCGCAATAAGAACATGGCATCGTTCTCTATGGCATATGGTCATTATAGTAACTTTCTAGTTAAGTAACTGAAATTTCTTCTCGAGCTTTTCTCTTTTATGTCTACAACCATGGCAGTGTACTGCCTGGCCAGAAGGGAAGAGCTGCTGGATGCAGTTCTGGTAGTGCTGACCGTGCTGATAAACATAGAAATCTAATTTCATGGGATCTAACAGACCGGGTGCGCAATTAAATTGGCATCCCGAGAGTTGGTTAATAGTGACACAAACCAGCATTAATTTTGCAGGTGGTTATTAGATTTGTTCTTTAATTGTCACTCCAGGGAATTGCTTGTCTGGGGTACTTTGTTCTGAAGATGCATGATAAGAACTGCTGGCTGTGGAGACTTTATCCCAGGACTAAAATTAAATCCTGCTTAGTGTGTGGTGGATTAATGGTCATGGAAAGTGTTCTTCCCCAATCAGTGCCCGGCACATCATTGCTGTGCAGTAACTGGAGTGCTATAGTGACACTCTCAGATCTGATGCTTTCTTTTTTTAGAGATGTGACTTTAGAAATGAGGAAGGGGGGGGGGGAAAAGAGTGAGTTTGAGATAAAGCAGGCCTCATGTAGCCCCTGCATTGCCTCTATTTTTAGCAGGATGCTTTGCTCTCAGCTGCACGGGTTTTTTAACTGCTTAGACAACAGGGTTTGGGAGGCTCAACGGGATGAGCCTGGGAGAGGGCTGGGAAGGAATGCAAATTAGGTCAGCACACATTTTCATCTAATTGTAAGAAGTGAAACACTGGCTAAAGCTGCATTGTCCAGCTCCTTCCCCAGCACAAAAGCTTTTCAGGAAGGGCAGCGTCCCTCGTGGGACACTGTGTCCTGGGTGAAAGCACATGCCCTGGCTTTGTGGCAGACAGTGTCCTTATAATTCTTTGATCTGATTTGGCTGTGGCTTTTCAGGGTAAATCTGAATCGTTCTATTCTCAGCTGTTAAGGTGACATTGTAGCCAGCAGAAAGTTGTAGGGAACCTCTTAGTGTTCTGAATGTGGAATCCAAACTGAGCCATGCGCAGAGGAGGAGGTGAGTGTTAGTTTGTCACTAAGAGCCCTTTCCTAGTGGTTTGGTGCATTTGCTGTGAAACTGCCCGATGTGGTATTCAGTAAATTTTAATGCTCAAGAGACACGCTAGTCAGCTTGACTAAAAGGGTAAAATCTTAACAGCACTCCATCTATGGCCTGGAGAGATTACTTTATTCTGTACACGCATACCATCGTTCCCAAATAAACACAGCCGCTTTTGTCGGAGCGTGTGTGCACGCACACTTAGATTCTAATGAAGGCAGCTCTGAACAGTGTGTGGAGAATGACTTCTGGCTTTGTGTAGTTGCCAGCTTCAGAGCAGTGCCTCGGCCCAGAACAGTGGATAGTGACACCGAAAGAGGCACTGCCCTGAGGGGATTGACTTTAAGAGTTTTATCATGAACGAGTGTGGTGGGCAACGCTGGGTTTGGGAGATGAGTGAGTTTGCCACTGCAGTTTTCAAAGAGTCTGATGCATCTTGTGAAACCATCCCTGCTTGATGCTGACGCTTTGATCCCACAGAGTTGCCTGACGAAGATTTTCTTTCAGAATGTTTTTATTTTTGTATAATTCACAGAATCTTAGAATATCCCATGTTGGAAGTGATGCATAAGAATCATCGAGTCCAGCTCCTAATTGTAATTTTACTTGCAGCTAGCAGAATTTGAAAAAATAGAAAAAGTGCTTCATTTGTGTTCTTGCCCTCTTATCTACTACCTGTCTTCTTTTGCAGGTGGCCGCATCTGCTCTTTCTCCCCCTGCATTGAACAAGTCCAGAGAACTTGCCTAGCAATGGAAGAGTACGGTTTTACAGAGATTAACACCTTGGAAATTCTGCTCCGAGTATACAATGTAAGGACAATTAGCTTGCAAATCCCTGACCTTGGAAAAGCAGCTGAGGATAATTCTAGCGCTGGCTTTGACAGCAGCAACCCATCAAACCAAGGTAGCCCAGGCACTAATCTGCAGCAAGGAGTGGTGCAGTTCAAAAGCGGCGTGCCACTGAGGGAGATGGTGGGTCACACTGGGTACCTGACCTTTGCCACTAAGAGCCTCTTCTAGTACACTTCATTTGGGGAAGTTTGGAGTGTTTTGTGTGTTTGTGTGCATTTGCCGTTTTCGTGGTTCTTTTTTGTAGGGCATCCAAATTTTTCCTTGTCAGGGAATTCCATATATAGTCAGATTTAGTTGGAATATGCTTTGTTTAAATAGCACGCAGGCATTAACCAGAGCAGCATCCAAGGGAATGTTGGAACTGTGGAGCGGTGCTCCGCTTGCCGTCAGAAAGACAAAGTAATAGCAAGTGGCCATTCATTGGAATGTGTGGGATAGAGATTCCTCCTGATAAGAAAGTAAAACAGCACACTGATCACAAATAAGATGGATTTTTTTCCTCCTCTTTTCTGAATGACTTTCCCAATTTTATGTTTTTATCACAGCACCACGAGACAGCTCTCTTTTTAAACTTCTCTGGCGTATGTGTGTTGCTTTTAGGAACGTGGAAGTGCTTCTTTGCTTCCTTTTGGATGTGCAAGTTGCAGAGCTGTACGGTTGCCTGCATGGCAGGTCACAGTATTAGTGTTTCTTTGGAAAATGTAGAGCTGCACAGAGGGTTATTGGCAGCACTCAGGATCACAGCCTCTTACTCCATTCTGGCATCTGCAAATCACTTGGATTACAGAGTTTAAATAAGTGTGCTAATTGTTGGATTTGGTCTAAAATGGTATTGCTGTCAATTGATAGTAGAAAATCAGGCATAGATTTGTATTATAATCTTCTAATAGGTCTGCTGTCAGTGTTATGAACCCACTGTGAAAATGCACATTAACAGATGGGGAATGTTACCTGAACTTCTGTTTGTGAGCAGTGTGGCCGAGGTGCAGTTTGCTTGGTGTTTTATGTGCACGACGGTGAGTTATCGTCCTGCAGCTGAGTGACAGTAAGATTGCTTTTGGCAGGACTTGTCTCCAAATGGCAACGATAATGCAAACGTGGTAAAACCATTAATCAGCCTTATTAATTAAGTTTTTAGACCATTTACTCTTCAGTATTCCATAAAAGCTGGTGGGTGGGATGAACTTTTTGAATGCTGGATTACGTGTTATTATTTACAGAGTAAAATAATTATGAAAAATGTTGAAGTTCCTCTTTTTATTTAATGTGTAGGGTTTTTTTTTTTTTAACAATTTCACAGATATTCCAGCCACCAGTACCATCTCTGGAAACATTTGGCTGTGCCTTGCATTTGGCGCTTTCATTTGTTGATTGTAAGAAAAATAACCATCCATAACCTGCTGCCTGAGCAATTGAACCTGATATCCCTCCCCCATTCTTGACAAAAATAAACAAAGCTAAGCTTTTAACATGTTATGGCAGAATGCTAATCCATAATGGTTTAAAGAAAGCTCAACCGATCACGACAGCAAAGATAAACTGTTGAGCAGATTAAAGGCAGAAAGCAATTCTGTAGCACTAAATCAGTTATGTAAGCAGGCCTACCATTGTAGCTTTTCTCCAGAAATTATGTGAATGTTCTGTTTCTGCTGTTAACTTCCTTTAGACAGATTTGTGCTAAACTGCTAACACTGTTGGTGTGGTTTGGTGGCTGTGTTGTAATGATGTACATATAAGTGCATATGCGCATGTTCTTGTGTGCTTGAACTGCCACCATGGAAGTGGTGCTAAGGGACTCAAATAAACCAGAAGAAGGCACGAGGAATTAGAAAGTTAATGCTATGAGACTGCTTACCTGGAGGTGATTCATACTTTCTAACAAGTGGGATCCCCAGCCTTCACCAGGGATAATCATAGAATCATAGAATCGCAAGGTTGGAAACAACCTGCAAATTGTATATAGATCAAGATCATCTAGTCCAACCATCCTCCCACTACCACTGCTACCACAAGCTACTAACCCATATCTCATAGTTCCTCATCCAGACGCCTCTTGAACACTGCCAGCGACGGTGACTCCACCACTTCCCTGGGCAGCCATTCCAGTGCCTGACCACTCTCTGAGAGAAAAAGTTTTTCCTTATGTCTAACCCAAAACCTCCTCTGGCACAACTCGTGACCATTTCCTTGGGTCCTGTTTGTTGCCTGGGAGAAGTGGCCAAACCCCTCCTCATCACAACCTCCCTTCAGGAAGTTGTAGAGTGCAATGAGGTTTCCTCTGAGCCTCCTCCAAATAACTTCAGGGATTCTTTTCTGACATTCCAACAGGATTAAAGAGGAACAAAGTCACATTTCTGTCCTACAAATAGACATGGAATGGAAATACCAATGTGTCTTCACGGAGTTTGAAACAAGGCTTGATGCTTCTTTGCCTACAAAGCTCAATTCAGAACCCCTTGAAATAAACCATTGACTTTGCATGGCCCATATTGATTTGATCTCTGCTGAGGAAAGGCAAGCATTGCGTAACAGGAGAAGGATTTAATTTCTGTCTTTGCAATATTAAAAAGGCCTCTGTGTCCTTGTTGCCAGTTCTGGCCATGGCTATCACCACACTGCTTCCTGCTGGTGTTTTGCTGGCAGGGTCATGGGGAGAACTCTTTCTGCCCAGCACGGACCACCTCTTAGTTCTGCTTATGATTATCCACTTAAACATTCTGGCAATCTTTGCTGTCAAAAGTAGTAAATCCAAAGTATGGGTTTTTCCCATCACAGTGGCTGAATCTGCTTGGGCCACACTTTCAATGACTCATCTTTCTTTTTAAGACACTTTTAGTCTTCAGTCTAGAATGAGACACCTCTTCTCCCTGCCCTACCACAGCTCAGTCACACATTGCCAGGCCACCTTCTCCTTGCTAGCTGTGCACCTGCATCCCTGGCTTTGGACAAGCACCAATACACGCCTCTGCCTCACAGCTGGGTTCAGCTTGTCCCATGTGCTCCATGCCCTCCAAGCCAGCAGTCATAGACACCTTGCAACCTACAAGGCAAACAATAATGACTCAGGTGAGGCTTGTGAAACACTCGAGAGGCTTGCTGTTGTTCACTGTCTTGCTGTGCTTTAATTAAAGCATTGCAGATCTATATCTCATTGTGGTTGTTTCCTTCTTATTTGCTAGCACAATTTTCCTCTGAAGATGTGAATATAAATTGTGCTTGAGAAACTGAAAGGGATCATGTAGCAAAAGCAGTATGAACTTCCTCTTTTGCCTAATTTCCTGCTCTATTCTCCTTAGGTACTTTGGGCTACGTGATGGTGAGGAGATGGCTCTTGCTTGGAAGTGTTCCAGAGATGAGGGTTCTGGTTCACACACTCCCTCGAGAGTACATCTGTGCTCCATTAGTCCTGGTGAGCGGGATGATTGCGGAAGTCGTAGTGACCCAGAAAGGCAGGGGGCTCAGAGATGCAGCAAGTCTAGATCTGTTTGTAAATACTAGTGCACATCCCAGCCGCCTGCATCATTAGGTGCTCAAGCACACTGGCAGCACATGTTTGTGCCATGTAGGTTCCTTCTGAATAGACTGGAGACAGCTGTGCCCTCCTGGGCTGCAGTTCAGTGATGTCCAGTGCCTAAAACTCACCTCTGATGCAGCTGGGAGCAGGGCACACTCAGAAAAGGAGGGCTGGGGCTCTCAGACACTATTTGCAGGGCTCCATCTCAGCTTCTGCTTGCGCAAGTATGAGAGGCACAAGGAGAGAAAAGTGGGAGAGCTAGTGTTGCATAATGATGTTGCACCAAAGGTACGTGCAGCTGTGAGTAGCTGAAGGGGGTTGCTCTACTACCAGAAAGTTCTGTCAGTGTCACCATGAGGAAAAGCATTTACATGCTACTGGCCTCCTGAGTGCTCCTGAGGAACCGTTGTTCAGATGCCAAGAGAAAGGAGCCAGACTGTTATTTCCCTTTTCCCTGTGTGACAGCTTCTGAACTGGAATGAATCTGCAACGGTATCAATGCAGAGAACAAACAGACCTTGAATCAAATTGTCAAATAAAAATAATTGTCCTCGCTTTTACCTGAATATCTCTCTCATGAGCTCCCTGTCCTTTTGTTGACTGCTCAGGACATGCTGTTCTTCTCTTAGGGAGGGCAACAGCTCTGAACTCCTAGGTGAGCTGGCTGACATGCTGATAGAAATGACTGCAGAAGGCAGCTGGGAGCAGAGGCCTGTGGGAGCGATCACTGTACCTACATGTTTCTCACCTGGTTCCAAGGACAGATGACATACAGCTGCACCTTCCATACAGTGAAGTGATCTGTTCCCCTCATCTCCCACTTGCCTTCAAACCCAAAGGTAGCAGAGCATGCATGCACAAGCCCCTCCTCGTGCTGCAAAGCAACTCAGGTAGCACAGCCAGGTTTTTGGCAAGCGCCAGCATTTTCCTGTTTGCTTTACAACTGCTGTCCCACAGAGTGAGGAGTAAGGCATCATTTGACATCCCAACCTCAGGCACGTGACCACAGAGACTCCACAGACACAGTTGCTGCAAGGTGCTGTGTGTACTGTTGCAAAGCTCCTCACCCCTGAGCATCCCATGGAGATGGTGTGTGGCTATGGCAGTAGCACAGCCTCGCTTAAGCTGTTACAGACCTCAGCCTGAAGTTATTTCAGATGGGGCTGAGTAGATTGATGCTAAATTTTGTATTCCTTTATTGTTCTTGAGAGGGAGATTTGCATGAATGGTTCCACTGAAACTGTGAATGATTCTCAGGGGGTCCAGATAACTGCAGGAGCTGTCAGAGCCCAGGACCAAGGGCTTCCAGAGATGCTGGCTGAGCAGACATGGCTACCCAAGCAGAGAGAGAGCTTTTTGCATCTTTGTCCAGCTAGCACTGACACTGGTTCAGCATGAAATGTGATGAGTCCTTCTGAGCCAAGAGAAACTGCTGTATGAGCAA